TATGGACTGGATGCAGGTAAGTGGAGTCGGTTCCAGGGCCTCGTTGGTGCCCCCGCTCTGAGTCTGAGGAATTGTGTCCTAGGTCTCTGCCTGCCACTCGCACACTCCTGGACCTGGGAACTCGGAGGAAACACCAAAACCAGGTCATAACCTAGGCTGAGGCCGTATGGAATGGTTTCTGTTGTAACTAGTAGTGACCAATGGGATGAGTGATGAAGGGGTACCCCGTGAATAGGTCCAAGAATGTGGAAATGTTTGAGTGTGCGACTGAGCTTGTTCGGGACCATAGATTTCCTTTCATTCTTATGGAACATGAGAGCAGGGGTGCAGAAGTCAGGTCTGGAATGTTAGGAGTCTATTCTGGAAGTGATGGGAGCAGTGGGAGGTTTGGAGCTTAGGAGGAAGGTTATCCGGCCAGACCTTATGAGGCTTAATGTGACTGCAGCAAAAACAGACTATGTTGTGCTCAAGTAAGAATTGATGTGGCTGGACCACTGTAGTGGCCAGGCGTGGCTGGATTCTGTATTGGTTTTCCATTAGGGTGTTTCATTTTATGTTTTGTGGTGCTGGGTCTTGAACCAAGGGCTTCACATGTGCTAGGCAAATGCTTTACCACTAAGCTGCACACCCCCTGGGTTTCATATTTAAGAGTGAGAAAAAAGTAGAAAAAGATGGGTGATTCCATTGTTTTTAGTTTTAGCAGCTGGAAGGGTAGAATCTCCACTAACCAGAATGTTAAAGCTGATAGTTGGTTTGATTTTCATTGTGTAGTATCAGGAGTTTTGTTTTGGCTACCTTAAAAGAGTGAGATGTTTAAAAGCAATAGTGGAAATGTCTAGTTAGTAGCTGACTGCATAAATGTGGAACTCTGCAGCAAATTCAAAATGGAAATATACAGGGCTAGGTATTTGGCTCTGAGGTAGAGCACTTGCTTAGCCTGTGTGAGGTCCTGAGTTCAATCTGTAGTACTACAAAAAAGAAAAAAAAATAAATCTAAAAAGTGGTGACAGATGTTTGTCATGGATATGTACCTTGAATTACAATTAGGAGGCACATCCTAGACTTAAATGGTAATGCCAGAAGCAGCCCTGGGAAGGAAGAGTGGGGTCCATGATTGGTTCCCATGCCTGAGCATCTGAATAGAGTTGGTGGTCATCACCGACACAGCTGAGGACATGCAGTGGCTGTGGGAATTGTGTGAGGAGGTGGCTGGTCTGGCAGATGTCTAGGCTCCATGGGAAGAGTGGACATGAGTCATACAGAAATTCAAAATAACTGAGGCACCATGATGGGGTGGCCAATACTTGTGTTTGTTCATCAGACTTTGGGCTCACTGGGATTTAGGAGTGACCCTCGATATGCTTGGGGGTTTTAGTAGGGCTAGTGGGTTAGCTTAGGGACACAAGTGGTCATCTGGGAGGTCACCAGGCCTGGAGTGGAGGGCCTCTGGAGCAAGGTCTTGAATTATGGTTTGAGGAGAGAAAAAGGCTGTGACTGATGAGGGGGGCATCAAGTGCAGCACAAGTGGGAGAAGGCCATCAGTGTCTGGTGATTATCCAGGTGGTTCCTGGTGACAGAGGCTGGAGCAAGCAACAGGCAGGCCAGGAAGTACAGAGCAGGATGGGGCTGCCTATGTCAGTGGTCATGGATCCTGACTCAGTTTGCCACGCTCTCTGGATGCCTTGTTCAAGCAATGTGGGGAGACCAGGGAGAGGCCTGTGGTGTGATGCTGGGGTGGAGGCACCTGGGGACTGAGACTATCTGTGCCGAGAAGGGATGAGCACAATGTGTGGGAGAGAGACCTATTGGCACTGGCATGGAAGACACGAGGATGAAGGTATGCTCATCTGTGTCTGTGTGGGGAAAGTATGATCTGGGGAACCCTGGAATAGAGCCTGGCAAACGTGGGTGCCACCCCAAGTTACCAGATCCAGAGTTACATGACTTCTCCTGGCCCACCTGCCTGTTGGTTTTGTGGGAAGAAACAGTGATAGAGGGACCATGATGTGAGAGTGAGTGACACTTGGTGTGGCATCTCCATGGAGGCATAAAACAGGGAGGAGAGTGGGTAGGGAAGGTGTGTGGGTGGATGAGCTTGGACTCCTCGGAGAGAAGTTGATCACTGCATGATCTGTCCTGTCATGACAGAGCTGTGTCACCTTTGAGGACGTGGCTGTTTACTTCTCCCAGGAGGAGTGGGGGCTCCTTGATGAGGCTCAAAGGCTGCTGTACCTTCGCGTGATGCTGGAAAACTTTGCACTTGTAACCTCTCTGGGTAAGACCTTATACTACCATTGTCCAGGTTTCTGTCTGTCCTCTCTTCCCGCACAGGCAGCTCTGCCAGATCATGGGCTCTGCTAATTTCCCACTGTGTTGACATGTGTGCTGTGGGGCCAGTGCCAAGCCATGTGCACTGCCTGAGCAGCCTAACACCTGCTGCCCCAGAGCATTCGTGGGAGGTCTGGGTGGCAGGCACTGTGTCGTCAGCTTCATGGATCTCACTTGCCTCGACCTTCCCTTGGCCAGTGTTCATATCCATGAGACCTTTTGCTCTAGCTCTGCCTCCTTCTAGCCAGGATTTTCTCATCCTGTCTCTATCAGGAATTGTAGGCATTGTCATGATCAGTGCTTATGTGGACCATGAACTGTGTCCTCAGGTCCTCCTTCCAAACTTTTTGTAATACTAATTTTTTTTTCTTATGATCTTTTGTGTGTTGAGTGCTCTGGGCCACTTCTGATTACTTACCTGTCCCTCTTTCATTGACACTTAGATCATACACTCTCCATGGAATTGTGCAGCCAGGGGATGGGGAGAGTCCTAGCTGTTTGACAAGGTGGACATGGCAACATGGTCTCTGAGAGGTCTTTGTCCTGATGGTGGCAGTTGGGTTCAGGTCAGGCCGGAACCTGCAGTGTGACTAGCAGTGTTCTGGTATACAGGCTTGTGGCCATCGCCTTATTTCTGTTTTCTTCTCATGCTCAACACTTTTTTCACCTGCCATTTCACTTGTGATTGCTGGCTCCTGGCCACCCCGATCTTCCTGGTCTCTGTGCATTACTTGTGCCTCTACAAGGCCCCTCAGCCATGTTTCCAGAACTGGCCCACACCTAATGTATATTATGCACATTACAATTAGTCCTCTGATATTTTGACATTAAGGAAGCCTGGTGGTAATGGTAGTAGAGAAGTCTTGGAGTCAGGGCATAAGTTGCCCTGAACAGAATAGAAATTCTTAATTATGAGAGTAAGAAAGGAGGAGTACAATGGATTACATGGTTAGGAAATCACAGATATTATCATAAATATGGAACTTTATTTACTTTGGAATAGACCTAAATTTGCTGGTAGGACTGGGTGTCAGAAAAGTTGTAGCTTATGTATTCCTGTGAAATGGTGGAAGGGAAGTTACCTTAAATTGGGTGGGTAAGGGTGAGTCTTATTCATAACATGGGTGGTTAACTGATGTAGTTGGTAGATGTTTAGATGTATGGCTGTGTGCTTTTCATATATTACCACATGACTCATTTCAGGTGGGTGCAGCTTTCTGCATTCATCTTGTGTTTTGCACAGATAAAAATTGTGCATAAGAAAACACAAAATTCAAATTGTTGCCTAATGTGTCAATTGTGTTATAATGAATTCACATTTCCAAACAAAAACAAAAAAAAAAAAAAAGAAA